GTGCGCGGAAACTGGTTCGCCGGTCCTGTCAGCCACTGTGCCTACCCTGTCTCAGACAACTGACAGGCTCCGATAGTGTTTTGAAGCAGGAGGTGGGGGAGTGATTGCGGTTGACGGGTCAGCGCACTCTCCTCATTATAAACAAACAGGAGCGCCTGTAGGTATTACGGTACGCCAAAAGGGCCTGGCTTGGAGGGTCGTCAACTGATAGTGTATGTGTTGTGTGGTGTGGCTAACTGTTAGATTGAGAGTCAGGTTGAAATTCCTCCCTCATAATATGGCCTTTATGGCACTGCCTCTCAGGTGGGATCCTAGCTGCTCCCAATCCTGCTGTAGCCTTCTTGATTGTGGGAGTCCACAGTGCATAGGTCTGTGCCCGCTCCCATTACGGTCTTGACACCGGATTAGGATGGGAGGGAAAAATAGCTAGTGAGGGAGATGCATCGCAAGTCTACTCTCACTATAATCCAGCGCAAGTCACCATCTCTGCACCACCCTACTGTGGAGCACACGGTGGAGCACACGGTCTCTTGAACAACTCCTCGAACGACTGCTGCATCATAGGCCCACTCACACACACCGATTCGAAAACAGTTTAACCGCATGAATCAACTTTAACCACTGCCATTCTCTCTCATGCCAGACTGGACGCATTCAACAAGAGCCTTAGTTTCTGTAGTGGCCCTTGTTGCCTGAAACATCACCGCTTGATTCTGTGCTCAGTAAGTTGCCCATTCTGATGTCTTGTGTCTTCCCCTACAACTTGGATTTTGGCCGCACTGTTGTAGTGCATTGAGTAGCAGCCCTGCCTAGGTTGTACTTGAACATAAAGGTCGTAACATAGCTGCTAATTTTCAGAATCCCTTCTTTTGCAATGGGGAACCCAGAAACCTGACAATTGTTTGTAAGCGAAGCTCTATCTACTTACAATGCTATATCCAAATCTCGGAATCAAAAGTCCCTGTTGAATTATAAACTGTTTTATTCAGCCACGTTTTGGGATTCTTCAGTCGCATCCTCAGTCATTTCTGACCGGATTGTTTTCCTCTTTTCTAAAGGCCTTCTTTTTTCTACATGCCATATGGGTTGTACCAGTTCAGGCCGCCGTGGTTCTCTGGCTGATGTATAAGGAGGGTGGTTACATGAGTATTTTTGGGGTCCTCACAATGCTCCTATTCATTCCTATCCAAACCATTTCTGGAAAGATCATTGCCAGCATTAAGTGAGTCTTCGGACACTCTTCGTCATTCCTAGCCTTTTTGTTTGATCTGTCTATTTTTAATGCTTCTTTAATTTCCCTCAATTTTACGGGCACTGTCATATCAAATTAACATCGCACGTAAGATTGAGCTAGCCGAACTCTAGATGTACATGCGTTGAGTACTGGATCCTTTTAATTTTTATCTTCCTATGTAAATATGGTAGTTTAATTGATAACGATCCCCGATAAAATACACCCTAATTTACTAATTATTCCTTCTGCTGCGGTAAGCCTGTTTTGCTTTATTATTTCATATAATCGTGGATGGCAGTACTTTTCATACATTACGTTTCAACGGCTTTTCTTGTGTGTTTATTTAGCAGTTAGTAATCCACTGCACTCCTGGCGTCATGCAGTTACTTTTTGGGCTTGTCGTACCACAAGCTCTGATTCTCTCCTTTTAGCTGGAGTATTCAGGCTACAATTATTATGAAAAGTACTGAAGTGGATCCGGCTTATTATACTTCTACAAATTGCTATGCGAAAGCCTGCGAAGGCTCTAAACAGATCGGCTATCGCCACATATTTATCATATTTTCGATTTCAACCGAGAAGGCACCGAGCCTGTGGTGTAATAGTAGGGTGTTCAACTCAATGAACGAAGGTCCCGGATTCGAATTCCACGCGTGGATTACCTGGGATTGGCTATGATTAGCTGATGCCGTCTTATAAGCCAGGAATGAACATTCCGGTCTCTCTGTGCCTTGTCAGATCCACTTTAACTTAGTTCTACAAGTTGCTATGTGACTGCCTGCGAGGGCTCTAAAGTGGAACGTACATTGTTCCATTACCAGATCGGCGGTCCTCATTTATTCATGGAAAAATATGTCCCATGCATTAGAAGCTGTTGTAAGTTTTTAAAACTGCGAAAAGCATATCTGTCCTGGTTTTACGATAATCTGAAGAGATGGCGATACAGGCGTCTTATTGAATGGTCTCCTATCTCCGGGGTCAAACAGTACTTTGTGTGAATTTGAAAATAGGCATTCCGAAAGATTTAATCAAATAGAAGACATTCTTCGGGAAACAGGAACAAACTTTATTGTACATTTTCGACACTGGCACACCAAGTCGTCTTCGGACGCGAGGGAAGTGTGAAGAGCAGTTCACATTTTTAAATGTGTCAAAAAATCAATAATGCCGTGGCCTGGAAAAAGGGCCAACCACTAAAACATGCTATTGACCACGGATGACACA